GCATGCATGCATGCATACATACATACATACATACACACACATGCATACATACATACATACATACATACATCCATACATACATGCATACATACATACATACATGCATACATACATACGCACATACAATATTTGCATGCGTAGGTGAACCGATGCATGCATACCCCTACCCGCCTACATACATTCATACATACACACATACATACATACACACATACATGCACGCTTGCTGGAAATACATACTTACTGAGTACTTCTCTTACATGTGTACATAAGTATTTTGCGGACTTTAATTTTCAATTTTTAGTTGTGTACCTACGTACCTGACTACCTACTGCCTTACTTACTTGCTCCTGTCCTTCCTTCCGTGCTGACTAGTGAATCTCCATCACAGTTAGCAACCACGAGTGCGGTGACAGTGATGATGTTGATGATGACGAGATGTCCAGCGAAAGGTTTCACAAGCTGCTGCCTGGTCGTGCATGACGAGCGGCTCATGTCCACATCTTGCAAGACTCCCTTCTCGGTGTCGTCAGCATCTAGAGACATGCTCAGCCTGGCGGTCGGGTCAGAAAGCCGATGAATGACAACACCATGACAGTTTGAGACTTCCTGCAAACAGCGGCGATGGAGAACTTTTGATATCCAGACATCAATGAACACCAGGACTTGTGGGGCATATTCCACGCAGCAAACGGTTTACAGTGACCCCAGTACACCAGGCCAGCGCATCACCAAAGTGAAGAGGCGAGCAACCATTCAGCGCAAAAGGATGGAGCTTTCAACCGGCATTCAACCCTTCGCGGCCTTACGCGTGGGTTCAGTAGGCCCTTGGTCTTCTGCTTCATCGGCCAAGTCTTCTCCCGGTTTAACTCCTTGTTGGAGAGCAGATCCTGGACAAGAATCAACGTGAAATTCTGGCTTGGTTAGGGCTTACGGCTCAGGTCTTGTAGGTCTTAAAGGATAAACTGCGTTTTTGCTTTGTTTTTGGCCGCAGTGCTGCCCTAGGATCTTGTAGGTAGGATTAACACTCACGCTCGGACTCGCCAGATGAGATGCCTATGGCGAGGGTTTGGAGTCTCACACTCGCACAAGGCGAACAACTGGCGTGTTTAGTGCTGTACCACTACATTCTTAGTACGGACTCATCGTACTAAGCTCATGAGAGTTTACTGTGCAATTCAATCCTGAATTGCACGATCGCTTCTGCACGCACCGGATGCATTGTGGCCGTCCGGAATATGGTAGGGCCATGTAGGGCCCGCGACATTTCTCGGATGACCTGTGCTATACGCTGGGACATGCTGGGACTACCTGGCTGATACACGCCGCACTGCAAGGACCAAAGGTCCGATCCAGAAACCATGGGCACAGAGGAATGAGGATTCATAGTGACTTATACTTATAATACTTGTTATAATAAAACCAATAGTAATACTACTAATCAGGACATAGAGGGTACAGGGAACACCTCAAATGCTCCAGACCCCCGGCTTCGGATCGGGTTGCTTTCATGAGCACAAACAAAAAGAGTAATGAGGACTGATAATAGTTATCTACACCACTAATAATAGCAATAACACTAATTAGAGCTCGCTTGTAATCGGTCGGCAAAATAGCCCGAGTATTGGTCTCGGCAGACATTGGGTCCATCACTGACCATCCGCAGCATGCGCTAGATTCCGTGACGAGCACTGCCACAATCATGCAAGCACAAACCTGCGAGTCCTTCATCGGATCCAGCTTCAATGTTGAGAGTGCTCGGCGCTCCCGCACGTCCCAAAGCCTCCGCTGCCCAAAGGTGGTTGTTGGGATGCTAGAAGACTAATATAGGGGCCCCAAGAAACATACACACATACATGCATACATACATAAAGACATACATGTATGTTGCTGTAGCTATGAAGGATCACCAGGGAATGCGATCACTCATTTCTTCAACCCTCTATATTATCTTCAATAGAATGCCCCC